TTTTTTTATGAGCATGGCAATAAAACTTTTCTTTTGTGTACAGAAAAAAGAAAGCATTGAGGCGTTCACACCCATTTTACAATGTGTACTGTTCATGGTATAGCCTATCTTAAAATATATTCCTAAATAAATCCCATCAAATCAGCTCAAAATCATTTTCCCAAAAACCATTTGTGTTTTCATATATCCACTTAAGGGTTTCTGTATAATAGCCTCTTTTCCCTCCCTTCTACAATGTATTTTTTAAAGCATTTATCCAACTTTAGGATAGAATTAGTCTCTTTTCTCTAATGAAACACACTTATTTCCCCCTTGAATGTCTATCAAAGCTGGCTCACATCATCTGCTATTTCTGTATATGTATGTAATGGTTATAACTTTTGGCTATTAGTAATTCTTATTTTACAATGATAACTAAATAGTAAACATGTGGTAACTGCATTCATATATGTCAGCATTCCATTTCCCAATACATTTTATGAATACATCGTTTTCATGCCCTGGAGTGATGAGTGTTTGTAGTAACAAAACTGAGTTATGTATCAAAAGAATATGTTTGTCAACAGATCCAAATATATTTAATATTTTTGAGAGAATAAGAAGCCAGATATATAAACACTTTATTGCTTCATTTTACTTAGTTACCAAGAAGATTCTGGAAGCTACATTTTTGAAAAAAAAAATAATTCACGAAATAAAAGTTGTCAGAATGACTTACTGATTTAAATCAAGTTTAGTTTTATAATCTTAAATATCTATCACATATGACATCAGTTTATATGACTAATAAGACAAACTGGAATTCTACTGTAGTTTATCACACTCATGCTGCAAGTTCAGCAGGTTTTATTTATTAATTTGTATTTTTACAATTTAACCAACAGCATTAAACCAGTCACATTTACCAAATTTCTAAGTCATGTGACCTTGAACATTTGAATTCTCATCTAAGAGATGCCTTCCCCAGTAATCCTGATAGGATTCCACTGCTAATTTGGTGATGCCATCTAGAGGTGGGGACCGATCACATATCTATAATAGCCATAGCTTTTTATGTGCTTCAATGGACAGATGCAAAAGCATCATTGTAAGTTTCATCCATGAATCAGGTGTAAACACACACACACACATAAAACTAGTACTCACTGTATATATGTATATAAAAGTTGATTCTTTGTTTCATTTTATGTTGTCATCTAAATTGTTTCTGTCAGACAAAAGAAATTACTACCTGATCAATATAAAGGCTAAATTTTTTCACCAATCTTCTCTTGTGTGATGTGTGCTTCTTTGCAGCTGTGAGCTAAATTTTGTCTATAGTTAGCATTCTATTTTCAACATCAGACAGTTGTGTTTGGGAACACGTCTGAGTCCATTGAGAGCCTATGAGGTAGTAGGCAAAGGCTTCACTTTCCCTAGCTCATAGATCTGAAATGGAGGAGAATTTGGGGAGAGGAACCACTTTGATGTTTGAGTTTTGTAGAAGTAGCTGTTGATATAAACGCTCCTTAATAACTCACATCAGCAAGAGTGGTGTGTTGCATCAATGTGAAGTGATATGCAGTCAGCAAGGACTTGACAAGGGGCCATTCAGTCACCCAGAACTTCCTGAGAGGAATCTAAGAAAGAGTCTGAACCTCAGTCTAAGCAGAGGTTCTCACAGTCTGGAAGTGCCCTCCAAAGGAAGAGAGTAGGAAATTGACTTGGTCTAGGGAGCATGTGCATTCAAGCATAGCCATAAAGTGTTTACCCTTTATACAAGTGTCCCAGAAGCTCCCCAGAAGTTGAAGTCCTTGTCCCAAAGATAGCTTGGGAAAATGCAAGAGAGGGCCCAGGCTGTCAAAAGACCACAGCACAGACAGCTGAGAGAGAGGCGGGGGTAGGGTTTCCTGGACAAGATCCTTTCTGTAGACTTGAATGAACCTGCTGTGGCCTGGCAATATTTGGTAGGATTCTGCTTACAAATAGGATGCCTATGTTCTAGTATCCTTTTATTGCTGTGATAAAACAATCTGACTAAAAGCAACATAGGAGAGAAGGGTTTATTTCATCTTATATTTCCAAGTCACTGTCATTCCTTGGGGGAAGTGAGGGCAGAGTGTATGCTGTGCCTCCTGTGCCTCCTGGCCTTCAACCAAGGAACCCTTCATGGCCAAAGAAGTGTGGCATGTGCCAGGAGCCAGAGGTGTTGTGGCATGCTAGCTAGTTCACTCTGGCTGGATCATTGGACTATGCTTAGATAGCTTTCTGATTGGTACAGCACCACCTGCCTAGGAATGGTGCTGCCCATAGTGGGCTGTACCCTCTTTCATTGGCTAATAATGAAGACAGTCCCACTTAGATATGTCCATAAGCCAATCTGATCAAGGCAGTTTCTCAACTAAGGCTCCACTCAGGTAATACTAGGCTGTGCCAAGTTTACAATGAAGGATAACTCAGTACACTTATAGTATCACATATATGCTCTGTGATCAAAAGTTCTGCCTTTACAAATAGGATATCTTTAAAGATTTTAGAGTATCTTTGTATATGCATAATCTTGGGATAAGGCATGAGTCAAAAATGTGGAATTCATTTATGTTTGTTTATCATTCACATATATACACTAGAGGTTGATACACATTTCATATATGATACAGGTTTTATATATTGTGCTCAGATTTTTAGTGCTTGTATGTTTAGCTTTTAGCCAGACTGTCCTGAGTTGTAAAGCTTTCTATTATATGATGTTGACTCTTAAAAATACTTTGGATTTTTCAGACTAGGATGGTAACCTAATTGCTTCCCCTTGTCCTCTGTGTGTGTGTGTGTGTGTGTGTGTGTGTGTGTGTGTGTGTGTGTGAGAGAGAGAGAGAGAGAGAGAGAGAGAGAGAGAGAGAGAGAGAGATTGGGAATGTATGTGTGTGTATTTGTGTGTGTGTGTCTGGTCTGTCTGTCTGTCTGTGTCTCTGTGTGTATGCGTGTTTGGTGAGAAATATAGTAGTGATTAATTTCTTTGATAAGAAACTAGCTCTTCATTTTCAATGTAGTCCTTTTAATCTAGTCAAATCTCAGTAGACTTCCTACTCTTCGTTAATACTGGGGTCCTTTGGCATAGATTAGGCTAAAATAATTGCTATAATTTTTATGTAGTAAAAATTTGTGGAGTCAATGGTGAGGGAGCAAAGCTGGGAGAGAATTCTGTGACAGAAGTTGAAACCACAAGCAAACAGCTCTAGAGGTCATGGGCCTGTGGTTTCATTAATGTTACTAACATGCATTTAATATGATGTTACCACCGTGAGTCCACTGTGGAGGGGCAGTGACACCAAGCTCCATCATCTGCCCTTGCTATCACAGTCATGGAAGGTCCCAGGACAAGCTGAGAGAATGGTGGGGCTTTGTGGAAGGACAGAACCACTGGGTTTTCACAGAGACTGTGTGGGATGAGGACTATTAGGAAAGGCAGAGAAGATGGGGGAGGGCAGCTTAGTGGTCTGCCCTGAGCTTTGGAAATGGAAATCCCTACTAGTCAAGTCTCCCTATATGAAAAATAGAACTCATAAGAGTGTTTCCTGGAAAAGCCTCTGACATGAAAAACTCTAGGGCTACCCTTTTGATAAAAAAACAAGGTGTTTTCTGGTACCTCCAGAACAAGGTAGAAAAGACATTTAACTTAGGTAAGCTTTTCAGATGTCTTCAAAGACCGAAGAATTATGTTATTCTTGAGTAAAAAGCAATTCGATTGAGTCAGTGAAACCTTTCTTAGAATTGTGAGTTAATAAATTAATACTAAGCAAGAGTGGTCCATCATTACACTGCTCTGTGAGGACCCATTTAGAATATTTCGCATACTAAGCATCGTGAATGCAGTGAATTATTGCTGGCCTCCAAATAATAATGAGCTTTTCCTGCGCTGCTGGTATTAAAATTCATTGTTCTTTGTTGGCAACGCACTTCCAGTTCTAATTAGGTTCTGCTTGGGCTCATATGAGTGTCAGTTTACAGTCACTGGGTCCTCAGACTAGGACACCATTCTTCAAAACAGTCTATGCACAGCTTGAAGACCCACTGGTAGGGAGGGGATACTTGAAGGCATAACAAATCCATTCTGCTTATTATCTGGCCTTACCTGCCCCACCAGCAAAATGCCACTTCTTTCTTGCTCTGTCCTCTTTCTAAGTCTTTGACTTTGTCATAGCAATAAGAGAATCTTTTCCCGACAAAAGTTGCATGACATACAAGTACTGACTAAGTCTAGTTTCTGACACCTGTTTTAAGCATGATGCAGAAATTAGAGTGCACTCCTCTGACTGAACAGAGACAGAGACGTTCTTTATGGATACAGCTGTCCCATATTGACAAATGCCTCAGGAGACAGCAGAGCTTAGCATTTGGAATTTTTTGGATTTCTTGAATTAGAAATAAGAATCAGCAAAACTTTCCCGGTTCGGGCAGACCCAGCATCATCCACAGTGTGTCTATCAGGATAGTATTTTTGGTAGCTGGGAAATATTACAGAGGGAATGTTGCATACCAATTAGTTGTATTAAAATATATATTATGCACAGTTCTGTATTTGGGTTTCAGAGTTTCCTTGACAACATCATTTAACTTCTTACTGTTCTTTTCACATTGCGAGTATAAATATCTAATATGTTTTTGTTCAAAACATCAATTAGGCGTCAGCATAATCTTTATTAATACAGATCTGTTATTACAAGGAGACTGCTGAGCTACTGTAATTTGCCCAGCAGGAACAATGAAATATCTTCTCTTTTGCTTCTATCCCAGATTGCCTGGCTTTTATTCTTTTTCTCTCTCTCTCTGTCGTGTGCAACAAGCACGCACACCAAAAACCTTTTGTGATAATCTTTCAAATAACATTGCAAAGCAAAAACCTTTTCCTCACCAGATGAACAATGGGAAGGTCCCAAGCGGAAAATGTATCGACTAGTTATGAGTGGGTGGTCTGGTTGCAGGTCTCCTTATAATTTCCTGACTTCTTTTTCCTCATGTAGCAAGAACTCCCCACTTCCTGCGGATTCAGAATGTGGAGGTGAATGCTGGCCAGTTTGCAACCTTCCAGTGCAGCGCCATAGGCAGGACAGTGGCTGGGGACCGGCTCTGGCTGCAGGTACGTGTGTGCACCACCTTTCACTATCCAGACACATCGTCCTGGAGGAGGGACTGGAGACACCAAAGCTGTCTCTGTTCTAGAACCTTCTTCCCACATCAGTTAGATCTCCAGGTTTCCAAGCTTACTGCACAAGTTCGGCAGTTTTCTGATCTTTCTGGAATTCTTGTTTTTTCTTACTGCTCTTTCTCCATGATCTCTTTTGACAGATTTTGTCACATTAGATTTAGCAAAGAATCGTAAGTTCTAAACTATAATGCCTTTCTCCCCTGAAGAAAACCAACCAAGAAATCCTCCCCTGTCTGTCTGTCTGTCTGTCTATCTATCTATCTATCTATCTATCTATCTATCTATCTATCTATCTCTGCTGTTCCTCTCTGTCTCCTCACCCACACTGTCTCTGCCTCTGTCTCTCTCCCCACCCCCACAGTCTCCATCTCTGTTTTTCTCTATCTCCATCTCCCTCTGTCTCTTCCATTTTCCCGTCTCCCTCTGTCTCTGTGTGTCTCTCTGTCTCTCTCTGTCTTTACACACACACACACACACACACACACACACACACACACACACACACTCACTCACGAAGAACAGAGAGCTTGCTTTGTAGATCTTTCTGTAAGCTGAATTTCTTTTTTTTAATTATTGGATTTTTTATTTGCATTTCAAATGTTATCCTCTTTCCTAGTTTCCCCTCTGCAAACCCCCTATCTCATCCCTCTCCCCCTGCTTCTATGAGGGTGCTCCCACCACCCACCCACCCACCCACCCTGGCCTCAGTGCCCTAGCATTCCCCTATGCTGGGTTATTCATTGAGCCTCCACAGGACCAAGGGGCACCCCTTCCATTGAGGCCAGATGAGGCAGTCCTCTGCTACATATCCAGCTGGAGCCATGGGTGCCCGCATGTGTACTCTCTGGTTGGTTGTTTAGTCCCTGTGAGCTTTCAGGAAGTCTGGTTGGCAGTTGTAGTGGCGCATGCCAGTAGGGTTTGCTGAAGGAGGCAGAGGCAGGAGGATCACGAGTTTGTAAGCTGAATTTCTAAATAATTCCTATCAGGAATTCATGTAGAAATTAATAGCACCTCTTAATTTCAAGCATTTTAAGTTACCCATGTGGCCGAAAATAAGCATGGTCCTTGAGGCTACAGTCCTTTAAGTCCTGCCTCATACATTCTGTATGACCCACAGTTCCTTGAGCCTGTGACCACTCTAGGAAGTTGTAACAGATCAGTGGATACCAGTGACTTTCTCCTCACCCACAGAACGCCACTCAATACCTTCGAGGTATATTTTTGGAGATGGGTGGTGCTCTTCTTAGTGAACTCCAATCGCCTCTCTTCTCCTTGCTGAGCTGAGCTCCAATCACGGCTCTTCTCCTTGCTGAGCTGAGCTCCAATCACTGTTCGTCTCCTTGCTGAGCTCCAATCGCAGGGCTTCCTGTTTCTTTTAGGTTTAATCTGTAGCCCCTTCATTCCTCAAATTTCTTAGAGTACTTTCCCATCTTCTTTCCTTCTTTTTGTTGTTTGCAGAGTTTCAGTTGTTTGTTTTTGTGGCCCTGGGATCACATTCACATCCTTATGCATGCTAGACACCTGTGCTAGGCATGTGGCAGACGTGTGCTAGATATATGCTAGACCTGTGCTCCCTCAGGCCTTTAATGTTTGTTTCTATTTTATTATTTTATTTATAATTTCGAGTTTGCTACCAAACTGAAGCCCTCTGTGTTTTAACCCTTCTGTGTCCACTGGCTCACAGTAAAAGGCTTCCCTTTTGTTTTGTTTCTCTTCCTGTACCTGTCCTGTCTCTGACTCTTACCATACTATATACTTCTGCAATAGCCTTACAATGGTGAAGTGTCACATTTATATGAATTTGAAATCCTTTATCCTTTTAATCCACACAACTTAGCTGGTTATTTGTGTTGGCCTCTTTTCTGGAGGAAGTGGCTAGTAGCCAAACATTTTGAGCCCACAATGGGCTGCCAGGTGGTAATGTGTCTGAGGAGGAGGCTTCTTCAGTATGGAGCACGCCTTGCCCGTATGCCTGATGTCAACCACCCCTCCCTTTTTTTCCTGTATCCTGGCTTTTGTTATAGAGACCTTCCTGCCAGGAAGAAGGGCTGTGTATAGAAGTTTAAAATGACATGTTCTAAATCCACCCTTACTTTTTTTATTTGTTTCTAAAAGTTTAGCAATCACTACTTTAAAAGCTTTTTGTTGCACTCGAAGATTGATATAAGTATTTAGCTTCTTTCTCTTTATCCTATGTCTCAGTTATTTTAAATTATTGTGCTAGGGATATCGGATTATTTCCTGAGTGGGTGGATGTTTGAGTTAATGAGATCCAGATCGGTTATCTGTTGTGCTTGATGAAGGAGATAGACATCTTTTCTTGGCGTTTCCTACAAAGCATTTAGCACCTTTTAAAAATGACACTATTCTTTTCATTGTTATATGTACAGTTCTTAATTATTCATGGAGTGCTACTTCACTGCTCTTGTTTCATGTGTGCACACCACTTGGGAGGAGATGGTGAGAAGTGCAAGCTCCCAGGTCCAGGGTCGTAGGGGATACTCTCAGGGATTCCCTGTCACGTCAAGGACAACATTGGATTTTAGATCTTCCTAGACCTGGAATCCTCTACTTCAACTCAATTGCTTTGGGATTCCAATCTTTAATCCATTACTAGTAATAGAAATGCTCATTTTAAATGGTGTTTAGTGTGTTATAAGGAAACAACTGATTTTATTTTAGGAGACAGAGAGCTATCTTGCTGTAGACTTTTCCATCCTGCCTCTACTATAGAGTTACCTTGGGAGATTAAGGAATTTCAGGCTTACCCTCAGATTCTAATATAATGGGTCTGAAGGAGGGCCTATCCTTCAGTACTTCATCAGATACTGTCCAAGTGATTCCATTTGTAGAGCAAGGTTTGAAAGAACTAATCTGAAGCAAAATTTAATGGCATAAAAAATTGGAAACGTAAAAATGAACATACTATGTAACTAGTACCTTAACAGTTGTCCCTAGCTGTTCCTGGAGTTTGGGGTAAAGAGCCTATAGCTATCATAGTCCTCAGATGCCAAAGTGTCTTGTGTAAAATGGTGTAGCATTTGTTTGTGACCTGTATACATTCTCTCACACATTGAAATAATGTCAATATAGCTTACAATAGCTAGCACAGTGTCAGAGCTGTGTATTGGTAGCTGTGCTGAGTTTGTCAGGGGCTAATGACAAGGACAAAGCCTGTATGTCATCAGTAAACAGTTTTGTTCCCTAACATAGTTGCACTGTAGAGCCAGGCTGGTCTGGAACTTACTATGTTGCCTGGGACATTTTTCTTCCTCAGCCTCCCAAGTCCTAGAACTAGAGATAAGAGCCACCAGAATCTGGGTTTCAAATTATTTTTGATTTGTGGTTTTCTTTTTCAATGTTTGGGTACAGAGCTTGTGGATATGGTGTATATTTAGACACCTTGGCATGCCTTTGACATCAGGCTTTGTCCACAAGGCCTCTATTTTCCAGGTTCTGTTAGACTAGCATTCTGATATTGATAACTCCTTTCCTGTTTGACTCCAGGATATATTTCGCTTTTCTTTTTTCAAGATGTCTTCTGCTACTGCTACTATTACTAATTCCTCCTCCTCTTCCTCCTCTTCCTCCTCTTCCTCTTCCTCCTCCCCTCCTCTTCCTCCTCTTCCTCCTCTTCCTCTTCCTCCTCCCCTCCT